GGATCTCTCTCTCTCTCTCTCTCTCTCTCTCTCTCTCTCTCTCTATATATATATATATATACACACACACACATTTCTTAATTGTACATTATGGGACACATGATGGTTATTCAGGTACATGCCTTCATGGAGATTGGACACTGACAAAACAAAGCTATAAGGACAGCCTAGTACAAATCCTCTCCCATCATGCTCCAGTTTTTTTTTTCTAGTGTACTGACTGAATAAATGTCTTTTTTTCCTCTTACTTTCTTTATGAGGCTCATTTTGCAGCATTTCAGATCAGCTGATTCCTGGCATAGCTGTGGAGGCCATACCGGACTTCGTTGTGAGGAAGAAGCAGGGCCGGCCTGTAATGTGCTCTCAGAGTAGTGGACTCTGCTGATGGCGCCCTCCTGGACTCCCTTGGTGTGATGTGCTGATTAGCTGAAGACTGCTTTACAGGTCCAGCGATGCGTTGCACCCATCTGGTGGAACCCTGTCGCTGAAGACTCCTTAGACACTATGTCAATCGGGAGGTCGAAGGCTTTGTGGATGGGCATATCTCCTGTATTCTGCCTAATGTCTCCAATCTACTTAGTAGGGACTGCAGGACACCCCAGGATAAGGTTTTCACTAAGTCTGGGCATTGCCCTTAAGAGAGCCTGGGTATGCTTATCCTGCTCCTTTAGTCCCTAGTCAGAAGCACTAGCTGTGATACTTTGAGTTGCAGGCTGGCGGCAGGAGGAGATGCAGAGCCATTTCTAAAGTTGATGCCTTTATGCTGAGCTCACTGCCCATGTGCCCCTGTCTACACTGCCTTCTTTGGCGTGGTTGTACTTTCTCCCTTATTCAACCTCGCTGATTCTGCCCTGCCATGGCTTCTATGTCCATCATCTTGTTCCTCTGTGTCTGGTCCAAGAATATGCTTCAGGATCCTGGATCTATACTCAGGGATTCCTCTGTCCTTCAACAACTTGTTCTCATGCCTTTGGCCCTATTCTACTGCGTTGCTAAGAGGTGGATATTATTTACCTAATATCCAGAAAGTCTCTCCTTTCAGTAAACATGCAGAGGCTCAAAATGTTGGTCTGTGAAACATGAGGGCAAAAAACACATTTTGTGTATGCCTATTGATGAGGAACACCTCTTTGGCAAATAACTGGACAACTTTAACAAGGGTAGCACCAGGGAAAAGATCACCTTTTTGTCCCAGAAAGCTCAGCCTCAGACTCAAAAACCCCTCTATCCCAGAGACTAAAATGTGTTCCTTGTGTTTCTCCCAGGTCTCCAATCTCAAGACAAAACCTGGAACTCTTGGGAGTTCTGTTGTAAGTTCTGAACCCTCAAAGCCTCCAAACCCATATGCAAGTACTCCTCGCAGTGAGGGGGTGCTCCCACTTATCACAGTGTGGGGATGTCCTTTGCGGCCACCTGAATCCAGGACATTTCAGATGTTTGGATCCAGAACGTGGTACCCAGGGGTTGCATGCTAGAATTTTGGTCTCTACCTCTATCCCGCCGTATGTTTTCAAACCTGCCAATGTCCCTGCAAAGAATAGCAGACCTTTACGCTGCTCTGGTGTAGCTTGTCTCGAATGAGGTCATAGCCATTTTTCTGGAAAACCAGGATTCAGTCAGACAACACCATGGCAGTGGCTTACATCAACCACCAGGCAGGACCTAGAAGCCTTGCAGGTCAAAGAAAAGCTGACCAGATTCTGGTTTGAGGGGAACTTCACATTCCAGCCCTGTCCACCTTGTTTATCCCAACCATGGCAAATTGGCAGGCGGACTTCCTCAGTCATCACCATCTTGACTCAGGAGAATGGTCTCCTCATCCTGAGGTGTTTTCAGACCTCTGTCACAGTTGGGTGATGCTGGATGTGGCTCTCCTGGCTTCCAGGCTCACCCAAAAACTGAGCAAGTTAGTCTCCAGATCCTGGGATCCAGTCTAGACTTTGCAGTAGATGCTTTGGTGACACCATAGGATCAGTTCAACTGGATCTATGCCTCTTAATCTAAAATTCTTTTATCACCTGCTCCATAGGATCAAAATAGAAAGCATTCTGGTTATTTTCATAGCAGCCAACTGGCCCAGGTGGACATGATTCTTGGACCTCTCCTCCATGGGCTCCCCAGATAATCTGGATCTACTATCCCGAGGACTGGTTTATATTCCTGCTTATCGGTTGCTGGCTTTAATGGCTTAGTTACTGTAGCCTAGGATCTGAGGATAGGAGCCTTTCCGATTCCATGATCTCCATGCTCCTGGAAGCTACAAAGTTGACGTCTTCTAGAGTCTGTTGCACCTGGAAAAAATATTTCTCCTGGTGTGAAGCAAGGAATTTCCAACCCAGAAAGTACTCCATGGGACATCTCCTATCTTTTCTGCAGTCTGACCTGGATCAACAGCTGGCCTTGAGTACCATCAAGGGTCAAATCTTGGCCCTAGTGATTCTCTTTAAATGACTGCTTGCCGCTGACTCCTTAGTAAAAACAATTGCATGTTTAATATGCCCAGAGTTCTTTTTTTTAATATAAAAGGATTTTTGACTTACCATAAAATCTTTTTCTTTGAGTACATTAACGCACACAGGTCCCTCTCCTCTGTACTTATGATCCACTCCTACTATTGCTTTGCTACAAAACTGGCGAATGATGGGAGTGGGAGGGCTTATACTAGGCTGTCCTTACATATTTGTTTTGCCATTGTCAGCAGCATAACTCTTTGTACTTGAATTACTATCCTATGTCCCTTAAAGTACTCCAAGAAAATAATTTCATGATAAGTCAAAAATCCTTTTTTCATTATTGTACATAGAGGGACAATGTAATGTTAGGAATTCTTAAACAGTCAAGTTATACAGCTTCCTACAGAAAGTTGCATCACTGACAAACAAAAAACATTAGGCCAACTCCCATAAAACCCAGTCTCCAACCATCTTTTTTTTTTTTTTGTTTGTTAGTGTCCAATGAGCTTGGATGCCTTTTCCTCAGCTCTTCTGAAAGGAAGTCTAACTATATTTTTACTAGCCTTTTTAAAATTATTTTTACATTTTATTAATATAGTTTGTACACTTCAGATATTTTCTTCTTTGATGATGATTTCAATCAAGACTTTGATGATTTCAACTTGGGTTGTATTCCACTACACATTGCAAAATGTCTTTGCAAAGGCACATTAAAGTAGAACTATGTCCAAACCTTTTTTTGGATTTAGTTCTCTTTTGGGTTACAAGAGTACATTTACTACTGTACTCCTGTGACCTAAAGTCAGCATATAGCGGCAAAGCTGTCCGATTGACAGCTGGCTTCGCCTCTCTAGAACCAGAGCCAGC